AACGTCAACCATGTAAAACAACTAATCAAACCTTTATTAGATGAATATAAAAAGTGTAAAACATATGGACCTCAAAACCTTTTCTTAAAATCTTAAAAAACGTATTTCAATGAAAAATTAAGATATTTTGAAAAATGTATATATATAAATAGACACACTTGTTAATATTTTAGATTTCCCAATAAATACATTTTTAATTTAACAATTCTATTTTTAAATAAAACAAATACATGTACATGCTTGATAAAATACATTCTCAACTTTTTTTTACAGCAGAACCTCCCTATAAAGGACAACACCTAATTGCAAAGTCAAAATGTCCTTTAGGGAGAGGTGTCCTCTTACCAGAGAGTTGCTAAATTATAAAAATGATAATTTTTCAAATGAAAACTGTCCTTTGTAGAGAGGTGTCTGCTAAAGGGAGGTTCTACTGTCTAAGTCAATGTAGAATATATATATAATTGTGCCTTATATATACGATTCCTCTTTAGTTGACCAATTTGGCTGAAATTAGAACTGGACATTGAGTAAAATCTGGAAATAGTGTTACATTTCAACCAAGCAAGATTAATTAATACTGGCCTAATTTTTACTTATTTTTTAGTTTGAAAATGACGGAGATAATAATGCAGCATCAGGTTTGATGGGCAAAAACAGGAATCTTTCAGCGAACATTCACTCGAAAAGAAGATCATTTTGTGATATAGAAAATTAAGAAAGACAAACTTCAGGATAACACAGCAATTTATTTAAGCCATAAGCACCAACTAAAATATTGACACGAAATTGGTTTCATGTAAATTGAGGAACAAACCTCAAGACATCTACTGATCGATTGCCCAGCATTTCAAGATTATAGAATGAAGAATGAACTAGTTGTTTGTGAACTTAACGATTTGATTTCCGATTAAAAAATCATATTTAAAGTTCAATTCATTTTGTAAATACATTCTATACTTTCTACAAAATCTGGATCTCTAATTTTTTCATGCGTTGAATAATGTAAATAACTTATGTAAATAAACTTTTCTCATTGTTTGGCGCAAGTATCCCTTGCGGGATATAGCGCTTTGGAAATAAAATAATTGGAATTGTAAATGTCAATCAAATGTCTCTATTAGTAAGTATATATACATTAATGTTATATAAGGGAGGTATGCAAATTCTGTAATTGATTTTTATTATTTCAAGGCTTTACACGGCGTCTCCACCAATTGAGAGTTTCAAATTAGAATTTTATTAATCAATCGATACACTTTGTGAGTGATGTTTACCTCACAACAAAACTAGAAACAAGAAATGAAAAATCAGCTACAGAATTTACATACCTTCCTTATATAACATTAATGAATTCACATACTTACTAATAGAGACATTTGATTTACATAAAACCAATTTCGTGACAATATATAAAATACTAGATGAATGACCCGGCTTCGCCCGAGAATTCCCCCGAGTGAAATTTCCTTTATACTGAAAGTACATCAATATTAAAAGTGACATAGAATAGCAATACAGAAGTAACACATAAACCACAGGTAAAAAGTGTGTGTGATGGCAAAAATTGTATTATATTAGTGTTTAGGTATTTGATTTATTTATTTTTTTTTTTTTTTGCAATCCATTTAGTTGTTTCAAAATCAATATAGTTTAAATAGATAGCAGCTTTTCCACTCAACCCTCGAGATACCCGCCCTAGCGCATTAACCCTGAGTTGAGTGAGTGACTACAATGGATCTTGACTACGATGCCCATCTTCTCAGTAAGAATAAGAAAAATGTCGACATTAGCTTTGTGTTATACAATATTCGAGGTTTAGGCGGTATGTTGTGTAAAAAAAAATTCTGGGTCTGAAGTTACTCACAGAAATTTTGGGTTATTATGAGTAATTTACTTTTTAGGAATAATGTGGGTTATTTCTATATTGACGGGCAAAAACATTATTTGGACCAACATTCATTCATTAAAGAAGGCAGTGGAAAAAAACAGATCGTAGCTCTCTTTCTCTCTATATATATATATATGCAAATCAAAATGTATATGTAAATATGTTATCTAATAATAAAATTTATACGCTGGTTTTAAAGAGTTTTGACCTATTTTCAAAATTTGTTTTCATTAAAATTACAAATATTTCAATACAGTAGAGGACACCCTGTAAAGGACACCTAATTTGCAGAGCCAAAATGTCCTTTAGGGAGAGGATTCTTCTTACCGGAGAGTTGCCAAATAGTTAAAATGGTAATTTTGCAAACGAAAACTGTCCATTATAGAGAGGTGTCCTCTTACCAGAGAGTTGCCAAATTGTAATTTTGCAAATGAAAACTGTCCTTTATAGAGAGGTGTCCTCTTACCAGAGAGTTGCCAAATAGTAAAAATGGTAATTTTGCAAACGAAAACTGTCCATTATAGAGAGGTGTCCTCTTACCGGAGAGTTGCTAAATAGTGAAAATGGTAATTTTGGAGATGAAAACTGTCCTTTGTGGAGAGGTGTTCTCTAAAGGGAGGTTCTATATTGTATATTAGAGTTGATATAAAAGTGCATTCAAAGTTATAAAAGACTAGACGAATGGCCCGGGCAACGCCCGGGTTTTACCCGAGTGCGTATATATTTTAAAAATGTTTTAATTAAAATACTATTTGTTACAATTATAAATTGGCGCCATGAATGTCTCTCTTGTGAAACGTCCCGCCCCAAACTGTGTGTGTCTTAAAAATATAAAAATAAAAATGTGAACGGAAAAATATGTCCAGGGTAGCCTAGTGGTCATGGCATCTGCCCGGTAAGCGGAAGGTCGTGGGTTCGATTCCAATCCCTTGACACTTTTTTTATTTTATCCATTCTGACCAAAATCTATCCGTGAACTTCACACAGTGAACTTCACACAGAGAGAATAAGGCAATTATATAAGTAGATAATCCAAATTGTGCCTTATCACACACTATTTTTTTATTTGGCCTTATTACCTTGTGTTTATAATCTATGACGTAATGCCGGCGGCGCGCGCCCGTTGGCTGCCGGCGAGCACGTGATCTTCCTGTGCGCGCGCATCCGTGACAGAACCGGCCCATGACGGTCGTGACTATATATGTTGATGATAATAATAATAATATAATAATAATAATAATTATTATTATTATTATTATTATCATTAGATAATGATTAATGATCATAATGATGATGCGCGCGCATCCGTGACAGAACCCATGACGGTCGTGACTATATATGTTGATGGATGGATAATAATAATAATATATAATAATAATAATAATATTAATAATAATTATTATTATTATTATCATTAGATAATGATAATGATCATAATGATGATGCGCGCGCATCCGTGACAGAACCGGTCGGCCGGCCGGCCGGCCCATGACGGTCGTGACTATATATAGGGATGGATAATAATAATAATATAATAATAATAATAATTATTATTATTATTATCATTAGTTAATGATAATGATCATAATGATGATGCGCGCGCATCCGTGACAGAACCGGCCGGCCGACCGGCCCATGACGGTCGTGACTATATATGTTGATTGTCATTAAAAGTGAACGTTTCCGAAACAAATTAATTTATGTAAATTAACCCTTTTAAAAATATTTTTATTAAAAATGCAATAAAAATAAAATTAAATATTTTTCAACTTCTGCAATTGAACAATTAGATTTATATGAATAAAAATAAAAGCGGGGCTGGGAAGGATCATCGTAAATTTCGAACATAATATAATTTAATATAAAGAACAACTAATTAGAAAGTTTTTATGTTTACTAAATATTTTACCTTTTCACTCAATATAAGATCATCTCCCGCTTTTAATATTTATTCATATAAATCTAATTATATTTAGAGGGGGCGCTATATACAGGTTTAACTGTAACTATCTATAAATAAAATATTATATAAAAATACACCTCCAGTCCACACTCAACTAACCTTTGATTGATATGTTTTGCAAATGTAGAAATAATTTTTTTTTTGTTATCATAAATTTGTAAATTTAGAAAATTCATGACTTCGAAATTAAATAAAAAAATACCTTTTGAATAAATATTTTTATTATAAAATGCACTGAAAATAAATTACAAGTACTTGTAATAAATATTTTAACTTCTGTGTATGCCATTGAACAATTAGATTTATCTAAAGAGACAAAGGTCGCCTCTCTCCCGTCATCGGGCTCTATAGCGCCCGATTTTAAATACGTAGTACGATGCGATTTATATTAAAAGTAACCTGTCTATAACACCCACTCTCTATAGCACCCTATTTTGGTGAGTCCCAAGAGGGTGCGCTATAGACAGGTTTAACTGTCTATTATAAGTATATTTAAGTTTTGAGAATTTGAAACTATTATAGACGTGAATGATTCTTTTAAAAATTACACAATTTTCTACTGCCCTTTAAAAATTGTTTAATATTTAAAAGAATCATACGTGTCTATAATAGTTTCAAATTCTCATTACAGGTGGCGCGCTAATGCATCATAATATATTTATCATAAAAATTGAAAGGAAATATGTAAATAAGTCCATTTCTGACTATCCGATCATATTGTCGCGGAGATAAATAAAGCAAGGGCAAATTTGGGAATAATTTATTTATTGTAAGGGGTATTTAAAGGGAGAGAGAGAAAGCACAACTTACCCCAAGTTAAAAGATAATCCTAATGAACGGCGTCAGCCACCGTCCCGTTTTCCTTATTTACAGATCAGCTTCCGAGAACCCCTCACACCTGTGGTCCCCCCCGGGGTCCAGGGATGATTGACAGGTGTCCCATCTGGATGGAGCTCCTTGATAATATTTATATGGAATGTTAGCCGCTGTTAGCTACACTATAGAAACCGTTTTCTTCTTCTTCTTTCTTTTAAACGAAAAATAGGAATTTATTTTAAGGAGAAAAATAACGATTATATATTTATAACCTTAGGGATGAATTATGAAAGAATGAATTGTGAAGAGTAATAATAAACGAAAAAATAAAAGTGTCTAGGTATGGGAATCGAACCCACAGTGTTCCACTCACCGGGCAGATGCCATGTGTCCACTAGGCTAGCCTGGACATATCAATGTTTGTATGTTTGTTTGTTTGGTATACAAATTCGTATTAGTTCCCTAATTTAAACCAAAATTTCCATACATAGGTTAAAAAATACGGGGAAGACGATAGGCTATTTTAAAAAATATATAAATCAATCTTTAAAACTATATATTAAAATTATTCTACTTATCTCACGAACAGCGCCCTCTATCAAAGATTAGATTAAATTATGCTGATGCAAACAAATAGATAATGCTGATAACAAACAATTATTTTTTAAAAATCTTATCTAAATATATATCACTCGGGTAGTTATGCACACGGGTCAATCCAGGGGCGAAGCCCGGGTCACCCGTCTAGTCTATCTATCTATCTATATATTAATAAAATGCAAATTTCATAAGTGTACATCACTAAAAACTTTCGTTACAACGCATCAATTTCAACCAAATTTTCAACATTTATGTAAAACGAGATGGAGCAGGTTTTGCTTAACATCAAAATATTTTTCCCTAACATTAACATGCGTAACTTCGCTGTTATCGATTAAATACAAAAAAAATCAACAGAGTTAATTTTATTTATATATAAATACAAAATTAAATTTCAACAGAGTTAATTTTTTTACATACTAGCTAATAATCTCAATCTAAAAAAATATTCAAAACAAGCAATTTTAAGATAACACCATATGTAAAACAGTCGGCCAAGAAAACAAATAACGTGTAATATATATATAATATAACTAGCGGACCCGCCAGGCTTCGCCCGGGTTTTACCCGAGTAAAAGTTTGTCTAACGAATCTCTCGATAAAGTGAACATTTTTTTCCCGGTCCCTTGAAAAATACTCGATAAGTTGAATAAAATCAATATTAATTGGTTCCCTCGGTAATTGGAAGTTAAAGGAATAGTATCTTGCCTTTGAATTGTATCATTATTCTTGTCTCAAATAAATTGCCGTGTCATCCTGAATTTTGTCTTTCCTAATGATAATATTTAGAGCAGATTGTTGAATTATAACAGATAAATTAGAATATTTATCTTGATAATTCTAGGCGAAAAGTTATTTCAAAAATTTTATTTGCTAGAAACCTTCCCAGTACTATACTAAATAACTTCCCAAAGTTTCATGGCGATCCAATGAGTGGTTTGGTCAGGCATAAAGGACAAACAAACAAACAAACAAACAGACACACATACATTCATTTTTATATATATAGATATATATAATAAAATCTTAAATATTATTTATCAAAAGTAAGATTATCTCAGGATGACACGGCAATTTATTTGAGACAAGAATAATGATACAATTCCAAGGCGAAGATACAACGTTGCAACAAGCAATTTTAAGATAACACCATATGTAAAACAGTCGGCCAAGAAAACAAATAACGTGTAATATATATATAATATAACTAGCGGACCCGCCCGGCTTCGCCCGGGTTTTACCCGAGTAAAAGTTTGTCTAACGAATCTCTCGATAAAGTGAACATTTTTTTCCCGGTCCCTTGAAAAATACTCGATAAGTTGAATAAAATCAATATTAATTGGTTCCCTCGGTAATTGGAAGTTAAAGGAATAGTATCTTGCCTTGGAATTGTATCATTATTCTTGTATGGATGTACCCGGCTTCGCCCGGGTTTTACCCGAGTAAAGGTTTGTTTAACGAATATCTCGATAAAGTGAACATTTTTTCCCGTTCCCTTGAAAAATACTCGATAAGTTGAATAAAATCAATATTAATTGGTTCCCTCGGTAATTGGAAGTTAAAGGAATAGTATCTTGCCTTGGAATTGTATCATTATTCTTGTATGGATGTACCCGGCTTCGCCCGGGTTTTACCCGAGTAAAGGTTTGTTTAATGAATCTCTCGATAAAGTGAACATTTTTTCCCGGTCCCTTGAAAAAATACTCGATAAGTTGAATAAAATCAATATTAATTGGTTCCCTCGGTAATTGGAAGTTAAAGGAATAGTATCTTGCCTTTGAATTGTATCATTATTCTTGTCTCAAATAAATTGCCGTGTCATCCTGAATTTTGTCTTTCCTAATGATAATATTTAGAGCAGATTGTTGAATTATAACAGATAAATTAGAATATTTATCTTGATAATTCTAGGCGAAAAGTTATTTCAAAAATTTTATTTGCTAGAAACCTTCCCAGTACTATACTAAATAACTTCCCAAAGTTTCATGGCGATCCAATGAGTGGTTTGGTCAGGCATAAAGGACAAACAAACAAACAAACAAACAGACACACATACATTCATTTTTGTATATATAGATATATATAATAAAACCTTAAATATTATTTATCAAAAGTAAGATTATCTCAGGATGACACGGCAATTTATTTGAGACAAGAATAATGATACAATTCCAAGGCGAAGATACTATTCCTTTAACTTCCAATTACCGAGGGAACCAATTAATATTGATTTTATTCAACTTATCGAGTATTTTTCAAGGGACCGGAAAAAAATGTTCACTAGATAAAACGATGATTTTGTAATGTAGAAAATTAGGAAAGACAAAATTCAGGATGACACGGCACACAGGGACCGGGAAAAAATGTTCACTTTATCGAGAGATTCAAATTTACAAGTTTCAAATTATCAAAATATATCTTCTTTTTTTAATAAGTTTATAGAGAATTGTTTTAACAAATGTTCGTTAGACAAACCTTTACTCGGGTAAAAACCCGGGCGAAGCCGGGCACATCCGCTAGTCTTCTATATAAATGGAAATTTCATAAGTGGTGTTCGCTAAAAACTTTCGTTACAATGCATCAATTTCGACCAAATTTTCAACATTCATGTAAAACGAGATGGAACAGGTTTTGCTTAACATCAAAATATTTTTCCTAACTTTAAAATACATAACTTTGCTGTTATCGATAAAATACAAAAAAAAATCAACAGAGTTAATTTTATTTATATATAAATACAAAAAAAAATTCAGCAATTAATTCAACTCAATCTAAAAAAATATTCAAAACAAGCAATTTTAAGATAACACCATATGTAAAACAGTCGGCAAAAAAAACAACAACGATATTACATCTTTCTCACATATTCACACACAATCTTGATTAATAATTAAAACTAAACTTTAGCATTGTTTATTATACTTCATAATATATAATATTCGTTAGGCAAACTTTCACTCGGATAAAACCCGGGCGAAGCCGGGTACACATCCGCTAGTATTATATAAAGTAATTTATAATACAATATAATGCGTCTTACGATCGTAGAAGGAATGAAATGGTCACCCACACAATACCAGACTTCTACGTGGAACTATATTGAAAACTAGAATATCATCCCGTTCTATGAACAAGTCTATAACGACAGCCACATCTAAGCCTCTTATTAAAAGTTTACCTATATTTGCATATATTGTGACATTTATATATACAATTAAACCTGTCTATAGCGCCCGATTTTAAACATTAAAATGTAAACATTTTACATTAAAAGTGACCGGTCTATAGCACCCCCTCTCTATTTTGGTGAGTCCCAAGAGAGGGCGCTATAGACAGGTTTAACTGTATGTATATAGACATGTTGAATATAAATATACTAGCCGAATGACCCGGGCAACGCCCGTGTTTTACCCGATTGAATGTTTTTATTCAAATACTATTTGTTACAATTATAAATTGGAGCCGTGGATGTCACTCTTGTGAAACGTCCCGCTCCAAACTTTACATGTACATTAGGTCAGCTGGTATTACCCCTCATTTTCACCGCTAGAGGCGCGAGCGAATTGACTTTTTGTAAATATACATAATTATAAAGATAGAAGCTTCTATAGAAGATAAGGATCATAATGATGATGCGCGCGCATCCGTGACAGCGATGAGGAATTGAGGAAAGACTGTCGTGACTATATTTTAACTAGCCGAATGACCCGGGCAACGCCCGTGTTTTACCCGATTGAATGTTTTTATTCAAATATTATTTGTTACAATTATAAATTGGAGCCGTGGATGTCACTCTTGTGAAACGTCCCGCTCCAAACTTTACATGTACATTAGGTCAGCTGGTATTACCCATCATTTTCACCGCTAGAGGCGCGAGCGAATTAACTTTTTGTAAATATACATAATTATAAAGATAGAAACTTCTATAGAAGATAATGATCATAAGTCCGCAACTTGTGTCCTTCCTAGGTCCGGCCCTGGTGTCCGTTCATAGGTCCAGCCCTGGTGTCCGTTCCTAGGCCCAGCCCTGGTGTCCGTTCCTAGGTCCAGCCCTGGTGTCCGTTCCTAGGCCCAGCCCTGGTGTCCGTTCCTAGGTCCGCAACTTGTGTCCGTTCCTAGGTCCGGCCCAAGTGTCCGTTCCTAATTCCGCAACTTGTGTCCGTTCCTAGGTCCGCAACTTGTGTCCGTTCCTAGGTCCGGCCCAGGTGTCCGTTCCTAGGTCCGAGACTTGTGTCCGTTCCTAGGTCCGGCCCAGGGTGTCCGTTCCTAGATCTGCAACTTGTGTCCGTTCCTAGTTCCGCAACTTCTGTCCGTTCCTAGGTACGCAACTTGTGTCCGTTCCTAGGTCCGGCCCAGGTGTCCGTTCCTAGGTCCGAGACTTGTGTCCGTTCCTAGGTCCGGCCCAGGGTGTCCGTTCCTAGATCTGCAACTTGTGTCCGTTCCTAGTTCCGCAACTTCTGTTCGTTCCTAGGTACGCAACTTGTGTCCGTTCCTAGGTCCGAGACTTGTGTCCATTCCTAGGTCCGGGCCTGGGTGTCCGTTCCTAGATCTGCAACTTGTGTCCGTTCCTAGATCTGCAACTTGTGTCCGCTCCTAGGTCCGCAACTAGTATCCGTTCCTAGGTCCGCAACTTGTATCCGTTCCTAGGTCCGCAACTTGTATCCGTTCCTAGGTCCGCAACTTGTGTCCGTTCCTAGGTCCGCAACTTGTGTCGGTTCGGTACCTAGGTCCGTACCACTATTAGCTGTGCGTAACCCAAACTACTGGAAACCAAGTACAGAATTCGCCAACTATACGGAACGAAAACGAT